TCATGATATCGCTTCAGCCGAATCGGTTGTTTTAAGGTAACCTTGTCATGTCTTCATACCCACTTAGATCTGCGGAGGAAGTGATTACTGTAGCCAATCGCCGTGTAAAAGTAAACTTCAGCACCTCTAAGCGTATCGTTCAACGTGCCTCTGCTTCATCATCTGGTGGCAGTGAAGGCCCTACAATCTCAAGTGAGAACAACGTTCTACTCCTCACGATATACAACTCTCAATATCCGATAACTGTTGATGTGATAAATCAAATTACTTCAAGGCACGGCAGGGTACTTCGAATAGTTATCTTCAGAAAGAGTGGCGTACAGGCAATGGTCGAATTCAGATCAGTTGAAGAAGCGAAAACTGCAAAGCGACACTTAAATGGTGCCGATATCTACTCTGGCTGTTGCACACTGAAAGTTGAATTTGCCCGCCCAACGCGTCTTTCTGTCACTAAAAATGATCAAGACACTTGGGACTTCGAAAATCCTATGCCTAGTCCTGGAATAGGTGTTACTGTAATGGATGGTAGAGCTCAAAACACTGCCTCGCTTCTGGGCGGCTATCCTCGATTTGATGGCGCTCGGGCTGCTGTCAGCAATATTTACGGTCTACCTGGTGGTTCTGTTTCTGTGAACCCTCCTGGAGCCCAGATGGTTGGCTCAATCACTATGTCAGGTAACCCTGCTGGAGGTGGAGTTGGGTTGCCCCCGCAAATGGAGCATATGACAGCAGGTCTTCATGGAAGTACACCTGTTGTTATGGTTTACAACTTAGATCTAACCAGGATGAATTGCGACAGGTAGCTCTTGACGTCTTACTTATTTTAAGATTATTCAATTTACTTTGTCTATACGGTAACGTTTGGAGAATTAAATTCCTAAAGACGAAAGAGGGTTCAGCTATGGTTCAGCTCGGCGATTCTGCTAGCGTCGATCGCGTCATTGCCAACCTAACTGGTGTTACATTATTTGATAATCGCCTTCAGGTGGTTTTTTCCAGTCTATTATTTCTTAGGTACGTCAAAGTAAGCAGCAAGTAATTTTGGATGTGCCTCAACCTTTCGATCTACCAGACGGAACTCCTTCCTTCAAAGATTATACCGGAAGCAGAGAAAACCGATATATAAACCCGGAACAGGCTGGCAAAAATCGCGTTTATCCACCCTCTCGAACGCTACACTTTTGGAATTCCCCCCCTAATTTCTCTTCTTCAGATATGCGCCAGATATTCTTAAATAATGGAGCTACTCCTCCAGAGTAAGTTACTTATTCTCCCAGTGTCTATTTATCATTTGTATTG